TGGCTAGACCAGAGGATGTACACTGGTACAGACAGGAACTGGAAATGCAGGGAATCCACGGTGGATGATCCCTTCAGGACCAGTGGTGTGAGTGGCGATACTGGGAGGGTGGAAGGAGGGTGAGTTCAAAAGGGGGAACCGATTACAGGATCTACATATAACCTCCTCCCTGGGGGACGAACAACAGAAAAGTGGGTTAAGGGAGACAGCGGACAGTGCAAGATATGAAAAAATAATAATTTGTAAATTACTAAGGGTTCATGGGGTGGGGAGCAGGGAGGGAGGGGAAAAAATGAAGAGCTGATGCCAGGGGCTTGGGTGGAAAGCAAATGTTTTGAGAATGATGAGGTCAATGAATGTACAAATGTGCTTTACACAAATGATGTAAGTATGGATTGTGATATGTGTTATATGAGCCCCTAATAAAACGATTTTAAAAAAAACCTTTAACAAAAACTAACCCATGAGGTAATCTTGTAGATAAATTAACAAATTGTCTCACAAAGCACTTAATCTACTAGAAGTACTGTATTCCTTTAAAAATTCACCTCTGAGACTTGTCAACAATGTCTTTTAAATAAAGATGAAAATGTAAAGGAACCAGAAAACTAGATCAATGAAAACTAAATTTAGAATGGAGAGGAGAATGTTCATGCATCTTGCAGAATGTAAACAATATATTACTGAACAATTTGCGAACAAATTGAATCGGACCCTAACTGTGTAAACATCCACCCAAAGTCACACCAAAATATTGTATTTTTAAAAAGAAAATCCTGTTGAGCCCAGTTTTGAGATATGGGGTACCCAGATATGGAGTCAACATGATGGCAGCTAGTCGTTTTCTCTATGCCATTCTTTATTCTATTCATTGATCAAGTATTTACTAAGTGGCAACCACAGGTTTCTCTATCAAGCTTGGTACTAAGTGCTGAAGAGTATAGCGCAATTATAAATAACCTAGATGCTTTTATAAATATTTAGAATATGCATGGCCTGGAAAAGAATTTTTTAAATAGCCAAGTAAGTCCACTAATGAGCTGAAATAGTTATAGCTTTAATAAATACTTACCTCCAGTGCCTGCATTCGTTTTAGCAATATTTTATTTTCAATATTCTTAATTTTTTCTTCATAAAACTCCAAAAATGTCTTTTTGTAGACTAGTTTCATATTGTACTTCTTTGCCATTCTGTTCAAAAAAGATTATTTAATTAAAAGGCTTCCTAAAAGTTTCTAAATTCTTGGTAGTTCGCTTTTGCAAAACAGTGATATCCTATAGGTTAAACTAAAATAGCTATTATCTCCTTCATAAAATCACAGTAGGGTGATAAAGACAGTTGGGTAATTAAGGGTTGCAACCAATAATTATGACTACAATAAGGCAATATGCATTTGGAATCTTCAGTGGGGAGCCAGAAAGCTCTATCAAAATAACAATATAGGTCAGAAAGAGGAAAGTGTCATGTGGCTATGAGATGAACTTCAGGGAAAAACTTTTCTATTGTTTACTTATTTCCCCTATTTGAACTTCTATAGCAGCACTGAAAACAGCTTAAAATATTATTTTATCTCAGATTATCTGGCAAGATGTCTTGAGCTGCTTCTATTTCAGATTCCTTTTCACCTAGCTTTAAAATGTGAAGGTTCTGAAAGTTGGTCCCAGGGCTCTAACTCATACTCCAACCTTTACATTCCTGTGATTTATCTGCAGACCACACTGATTTATTCCAACACTCACTAGAAATCTCCACCTGGATGCGTTACAGGTATTTTCCAACATCCCATATCCAAAGCTGAACCCCATCAGATTGTTCTGACAATCTTTACTATTTGAGCACGCCTATCTAATGGTTCGGAGCCCTGATAGCGTAGTGGTTATGAGCTAGGCTGTCATCTGCAAGGTTGGCAGTTTGAAACCACCAGCTGCTTCCTGGGAGAGATGAGGCTTTCTGCTCCTTTAAACATTTACCGTCTCGGAAACTCCCAATGAAGAGTTCTACCCTGTCCTATAAGGTGGTCACTATGAGTCAGCATCGACTCAAAGGAAGTGAGGTTGATTTCTTGGTTATCTAATGATTCAAGCCAGAAATCTGGGAGCTATCTGAATCATCTTCCTCTCTCCTATACCCATTAAGTTTAACACACCACAAAATCTTTACCATTTTACCTATAACATACTCCAAATAATCTCACTTCTTACCACTCTTCATTTGACTCCAGTCTACTTTTCAATCACCATTCTAACTCAGTTTGGGCAATATAATAGCCCAATAGCTTGTTTTTCTGGTTCCATTCTTAAACTTCAACCAATTTTTAACTAGTCAGATTAAGCTTTCAAAATTACGTGCCTGGCTCTGTCCCTTCCCTCGTAAAATCTTTTTTAGGCTCTGGTATGCGCTGGACACAATTTAAAAGCCTTTAAACAATGTGACCATTCATTTAGAAAAAAATGTTCCTTCACTTTGAGCCATTCAGCCCCTCACACCCTCAGAGCGAGTTAAAGGCTCTCCTTTAGCACCTTGAACAAACCAAGTGCTTTCCCACTTAGGGCTTTTATACATTTTATCCCTCTCCTTGGAATATTCCAATCAGTCTTCAAATGACTCTCACCTACAAATCTTTAGCTATTAACTTGAACATCTCAAAATCTTCTATAGGTCTCCTCTACTACCTATTTTAATAAATAATTTAAAAATCTGTAACTATATAAACTTAAAATTATTAGGTCATTTCAATACAAATAACTGTTGTGCTTACTTTGCATTAAAACATAACTTTAGTTTTTATCTTTTGTGGGTTCACTAAAATCCCCACCTTCATTAAACAAGTCAAATTACAACAGTAGTATACTCAAAACATTTGTCTAATTTCTTCTTTTAAAAATTGAAGCATATAGACCGGAGGATGTATACTGGTATAGATAGAAACTGGAAACACAGGGAATCCAGGACAGATGAAGCCCTCAGGACCTGTGGTGAGAGTGGCAATACTCGGAAGGTGGAGGGAAGTTGGGGTAGAAAGGGGGAACCGATCACAAGGATCTACATATAACTCCCTTCCTGGGAGATGGACAACAGAAAAGTGGGTGAAGGTAGATGTTGAACAGTGTAAGACATGACAAAATAATAATTTATAAATTATCAAGGGTTCATAAGGGAGGAAGGGAGGGGGGCGGGGAGGGAGGTAGGGGATGAGGATTTGATACCAAGGGCTCAAGTAGAAAGAAAATGTTTTGAGAATGATGATAGCAACAAATGTACAAATGTGCTTGACACAATGGAGGTATGTATGGATTGTGATAAGAGTTGTACGAGCCCTCAATAAAATGATTTTAAAAAATTGAAGCATAGTAATATTTCCCCAAAGTTTACTAATTTTAATACAAAAATAAAATATGATTTAAAATTAATTTTACCATTTTGCCTATAAATTATGCATATATTTTCCTTATGCTAAATGACAAATCTACCATCATCATATCAATGAAGATTCAAAACAATCCTATATGATAGACTAGATCTGCCCCAAGGGTTTCTAAAACTATACATCTTTACAGGAACAGAAAAGCCTCATCTTTCTCCCACAGAGAACCTAGTGTGTTTGAATAGCCGATTTAGTGGTTAGTAGCCCAAAACTTAAACTCACTGCACTACTAGGGTGCTAATGGTACATCACAGTGCTCTTTAATTTTCTAACATGTTACATAAAGTGTTTCTATTGTAAAATTCCTGAAAATCCTTCATCCCTAATTTTCACAATTCAAATACTTACCAACCAAAATTAAGCAGACAATAAAGCTGCTCCCTAGTTAATTTCAAAAAAATAATAAGGGACAAATCAAGATCAGTAGAATATGACATGGTCTATATTTAACTTTATTGTCATATTCTCTCCATTAAGGAAACTCCAAGACCAAGGTGCATCATAAGCTTCACCTGATAAATACAAGTCCTCTTAACTTCTCCCATGTCTATGGTTTGCCAAGACGCGTAGGGACTGCGGTGCATGGGTAAACACATTCCTGAATCAGGATTTTTATTACCAACAGTACCTGTCAAACAGGCAATTTCAAAGCTACAGATTTCCATGACAAAGATTCCATTTTAAGGTGGATCTTTGATTTATGAACATTCATTGAAGGTGCTTCAAAAGGCAGGTAGAAAAATTCCATTGCCTTTTAAGTCCATTTTCTATGAACTTTTTCAAACTCCCTTGTCCATCTGAGCTGCCAACAGTTACTGCTTGCAATGTCAGGTATTTTTTGCCACAAGTTGAAGGCACTGGGCTTCCTTTGTTATCCACAGAATACAAAAAAAAATCCATGAAGTGGAAACAAGCTCAAACTAAAGCTAAATAGGTAAGGCTGTAGACCTACGGTACCAATCTTGGGTCTGAGGATATAGTCTTTTTTATAAAGCTATGCTTTCACTGGGTCTCATTAAAAAAATTATGATAAGACATAAATATATGGCTACCCCTTTTTTCCCTTATAAGGCAAAAAAAGAATAATAACAGATTAATGGGATTCTTACTCATTTAGCAATGGAAAATAAACCAAGAATTCAGGAACATCCACAACACCTTCCAAGTTGAAATCATATTTGCATCCAAATAATGGGTAATCTCCTTTCTTCTGAAATTTCACAGTATATATTTCATTTCCAAATGATTCTGTTTCTGAAGCTTCAAGGCGTTTTCTGTAAAGGTTAAATCCCACCCCACCCCCCAAAAGAAAAAGGTTAAAATTGTTATTAGCTCAGATTGCTATACAAATTTATTTTGATCAGATTATACATATAATAAAACTACATCGTGAATTAAAAAATACATTTGATTAGCTTCTTCAGTGGAATTTGAGGTACCTTCAAGAGGCAATATAATTAAAGAATATTAATAATCTCATTAATAAAATTAGGCTGGAAATAATCCCAGTATTCCAGAATCCCAGTATTCAATCTCTGTGCTTCAGTATCCAATCTACAGTTTGCCTGCGTCTATAATCTCTACCTTGATGTATCATCATGTCCAATTTACAAATGGGCTAAGTTTTAAAAGTTCATCTGCAATTTTATCTTTTGAACACTGAATTAAAATATTTACTCAAATATATTATCAGCACTTACTTAACTATAAACATACACATCAATTCAACAAATAACTATGCATTAATCAATCATGCAAATTTAAGTGGTCTAGTTGGGAAGAAGTCCTGGTGATGCAATATTTAAAGCACTGATGTACTACGTAATAGAAAGGTTCGTGGTTCAAATCCATACCGTGACTTCATAAGCAAACACACCTGCTGATCTGCTAGTGTAAAGATGACTGCTTAAGAAACACTATGGAGTTGGAACTAACTCAAGGTACAATAATTGGTGTAATTAAGAGAAATGGTACATTTATAAACTTCTTATGAGAAATGATAACTATTTTCCGGTAAAAATTTACTATAGTACATGCTTTATAAACCCTAATTCTAATAAACTATTACCAATTTTATTACTGAATTGTTCGTAACCTATAATACTTACATCAGCTCAAAGCTATTTGGTGTGGTACCAATAAAATAGCCTCCAGGGTTAAGTCTCTCACAAGCATTTCTAAGCATTGTGTCAGCCTGCTCATAGGATTCAAATGAGTAATGACAAACAAACTGACAACTGCAGATGTCAAAGAACATTTTTGAATCAAGGAATTTTCCGGGTAAAAGTTCCTGAAACAAATTAAAGTGGGTTAACATCTAAAAGTAACTACCCAACCCCAAACCCACTGTGATCAAGTCAGATTTAAGGCAGTTAATCTTTCTAGGTGCAGATACCCTCATCTTTACCCAACAAGCAAATGATGGATTTGAGCTGCCACCTTTATAGTGAGCAGTCCAATACTTATTTAGCAACATCACCAAGTAGCTACAATACTGATTAAAATCTTTCAGTAAATTAATTTCTAGAATTTAGGGATCTAATGGGAAAAATACCCAAGCGAGGTAACTGAGAGTTGGAAGTTTGATCCTACTCAGTAGCTCACTAAGAAAAAAGACCTGATGAACTGCTCCTATAAAGATTACAGTCTAGAAAAACTGTATAGTAACTTAAAAGGGGAGTGGGTGTGGGAGGGAATCTGATGTGGGGAAAAGAAAAAACAAATTAAGCAAGCCATTTAAAGGAGACTGGCCTCTGGTATTTAAAAACAAAATAAGGGCATTTTAAAGGTTTCTGACTTTCTAGTAGTATACTTTCTTTCAAAACAGCAAACATAATGTATATGGCTAAATATCAATAGTTTAATGAGATGCTAAGTCAAAGAACATTAAGTTTAAGGTGAGATTATCACCACTGCTGCAGTTTTAAAAATTTGTAGTTGTTAGGAGATTCAGAAATAGCTGGAAGGTACATCAAGCTTCTGATATGTTGACAAACTTCCCAAATAAATTATCAGATGAATAAAGCATGCTACCAAATTGCTATATTTCAAAATCCTAGAAAATGGGTGAAACAGAAAAGCACCAATAATTTCAGCAGCTCACATTAAATAAAAAACTCTCTGTAGCGCCCACTTGGTCTTTTAAAGAAATTTCTGGTTGAAAGTAAAAACACATGTCCTGCAATTTATGGCTTAAAGGACATTAAAAACAACCAAAAAGGGATTAACTTTTAAAGCAAATCATTTACCCAAACTAAAAACATAAAAAATACAAATTAAAAATAACAGTACCTTTGAACAATCAGCAGTTATAAATTCTGCATTGAAAATAAATTCATTGTCACGACAGCGATGCTTCATGTCATCATACCGTTGCTGGCACTGCTTGACAGAAACATCAGCAATATCTGGAGAAGGGATGACATAATTGTTAGCACACACCCAGACTGAGAAATGAGAAAAGGTAAATTCATACACAGCAAACATCTAGAAATTAATCTAAATTTTGACATGAAATTCATTCATAAGGAAAAACTTTATTTCCTTCAAATAAAAGGGAAAGTTGTTCTAATGCGAATGTCCTATTAATTTTTAAAAGGTAGTGGTAACAGAAAAGTTCTAGCATGCTTTTTAAATGCTTACGGTCAAAAGCAAATAGACTCAAATTTGAATTATAAAACCCAGCAATATCTATTTTCTACTGTGCATATTCAAAAGTGAAGACTCTGGTTGTTAGGTAGCTGGCTTTGACTCATGGTGACCACTTGAATGAGAGAACAAAACATTGCTTGGTCATGCACTATCTTCTAGAGCAGTGGTTCTCAACCTTCCTAATGCCGCGACCCTTCCGTACAGCTTCTCATGCTGTGGTGACCCCCAACCATAAAATGATTTTCGTGGCTACTTCATAACTGTTATTTTGCTACTGTTATGAATCAGGCAACCCCTGTGAAAGGGTCGCTCAACCCCCAAAGGGGTCGCCCGACTATAAATTGAGAACTGGCTCTTCTAGATCATTTAACTCCATTGTGACCCTGGTGACAATTGACCTCATTAAGGAAAATTTCCTTTGCCTTTGCTGGTCCCTTTTACTTTACCCAACATGATGTTCTTTTCTAGAGATCAAATGCTCTGATGACAATGTCCAAAGAAACCAGTTCAAGTCTTGAACAATATTTTCTGATTCATTGGGCTTTCACAGGCTAAGTATTTTTTAAAGTTTTATTGGCATGTACGTCAATCATTCAATCATATTAAGAAGAGTTGTGCAATCACCACCAGTAAATTTTAGAGCATTTTCTTCCCGTACTCATGTTGTTAGCTCTTCATTTCTGCCCATCCTCCCGTCAGGCCCCTCACTCCAAAAAACCAAACCCACTGATACCGAATCAAGGCTGATTCATATGACGCTGCTGAGGACTCTTGAACTGTTTACAGGAGCAGAAAGCTCAGAGCTTCTGGTGGTTTCGAACTGCCAACATGAGGATTACAGTCCAACCTTTAACTACTACACTACCAGGGATCCTGAGTAATTATTAATCTAATCCAGTTAATCTCCATAGATTTACCGATCCTCCTAGATTTCACACACAGAAAATCATGCAACACACAAACAGGAGGCAGATAAACGACGACTAGAAAGCACTTAGAAAGAAGGCATAAAATGTTAAAAACTGAAACAACTTTAAAATGTTTTGATAAGGTATTACATTTTAACCTAACTACATTTGCCGTAATTGGACTTGACTGTGCTCTGACAGCAAGGCTTTTCACATCTGTGGATTGTGTTCAGTGGGGATTCACCAGAGGCTTAATCCACGTGATCTTGCTCTTTTCTTTTTTTAAAATTTAATTCTTTTATCATGGATTGCTTATATGGTAGACAATAATACAATATTAAGAAATATATCATCCTCAGTAACTCAATATTCATCAGGAATATCTGATCGTTAGAGGTAAAGCCCTTAGAACTTCCATTTAAAAGTAAAACTTCTTTTAAAAAATAAATTTAAAAATTTATGAAAATTTTAAGAAGTTTTGGGAATGAAAATTATAAAAGTCAATGTTATACATGTTAAAATCGAACATTACTTATATATTTTTAAGAGTACAAAGTACTTTCACTCGTTCTGCGAAACTGGAATATTTACTTAAGTCTTACAGTCTAAAAATGTTTGGAAACATTTTTCTTCTAGTCATGAAAACCCATTCTAATGCCTTTACCAAGAGTCACTATATCCAGATAAAACTACCTTATGGCTTCAATAGTTAACAAGATTTAATATAGTTGAAGGTATGAAGTAGCAGCTCCATCTTTCCATGTTGCTACGGTCTGATATTACAGTTCTGCACAGTGGACATGTTTTTTTTCTGTTTGAACCATAAGGGAATACATTCTTCACAAAATATATGCTGACAGATGAGAATTGGCTACACTGTCTCTTGCAGGCAGCTACACCACAACTTGGTCATGTAAAAAATACTCACAAAACCTGTCTGAAAGTTCTCAGACTCTAAAAAGGTCCAAAAGTTTCAGTATGAGGTAGAGCAAAACCAGCAATATGCCACGACTCCGTTTAGTTACATTACTAAACTCCGTAACAGCTTATGAAACCAAACTGGTCTGGGGACAAAGGTTCAGTAATACTGACATAATTGTCCCACAAGCATATACCCAAACCCTTTGGATGTAAAAGGCATGATGAAAGAAGGCACTAAAATGAGTCATTTTAAACCCATGAAAATGAATTTCAGAATGAAATCTGTAATACCAAAATCCAAAGTATTTCCCCAAAATCAAGTGGTCCAAAGTAGGTTTTAAAAAGTTGTGCTGTAATAGACTAAGAATGAAAGGGACAATCCTGCTAAGAATACAAATAACCAAGCACATTGAATCTTTGAGCACCTTGATCTTAGAAAAACCTTATTTACAATGCTTGTTTGCATATAACAAGTTTGACACACAATCAAAATATATGGAAGACTCTTTTACAACCATTTGAAGAGAACAGAACTCTGAGGAGTTTTTACTGTTCCCGAGACTCCGTGGCAGCAGTGTCATCTGGTTGCCTTGCCTCACTGTGTGGGTGACTCCCTAAGTGACTATGTACACATCCATGGGTGCAATGCGGGCACCTGGCCTTATATTCCTGGAGACGGAATTTTCAGCCTGTTCTTTCGGTATGGGGTTTATTTGGATATGAACATCTCCAGAATGGAGGGAAAATCCCTTCTCCAAGCACATTGCCTGCAGTCCCTGGAGGACTACACAGTTGGCTTGCTTGGTCCTTGAATACTTCTTCTCTGATCCAAATTTTTCTTTTAGGGATTTTTTTTTTCATGATAGAAAGTACCCCAAGACCTGGACAGCGACAGCAAAAGCAGGTGCAACACCGCCCTAGCCCCCCACATTGTACTCAATCCGCACAACCAGCCGCTCTGGTGGAGGAGACAGAGGCTGACCCTGCTAATTCTTGAAGTAAATTGCCAGGCTTTTGTTTCTAATTAGTGTGGACATGCCACTGAAATTTGCTTACCCCGGATAACTCTGCTGGTATTTGAAATACTGGTAGTAAAGCTTCCAGCATCAGAGAAACATACAAGTAACCGCAGTACAATAAACTGACAGTCAAGTGGTGGGTGTAATATGTACTTTAATTAAAATACAAGCACAGAAGACAGGAAATGGGAAATACTGCCTCAAATTCTTGGTAAATCAAATAAAATCTAGTAAAAGAAAACTCACATTTAATCGAATACAGTATGTTCTTTTGTAATTGGTTAATTTCACCCATTTAACCGAATACACTATGTCCTTTTGTAATTGATTAATTTCACCTAAGGAATCTGTTGGCACGATGGATTAAGGGACGCTGGACTGCTTACCTTAAGGTCAGTGGTTCAAACCTACAGCCACTATGCAAGATAAAGACAAGGCTGTCTGGTGTTGTAAAGATTTATAATCTTGAAAACCCTAAAAAGCTCTACTCTATCCTATAATAGAGTTGCTATGAGTGAGAATAAAATCAGGAAAAGTGTATCAGGATTGTAGCCTTTCACCTTACTACAGGTTGTTGGTTTTGCACTACTAATTGCTGGATCTTCAAGTTACTGATTCTGGCTTCCCTTTTTGATGTGCGTGCTGGTTGTTCACTGACTTAAGTAAGGCTCTTAATGCATCCCAGACTTGGGTATGTTTTCATTTTTGTTTGCCTCTAGGGATTTTCTTTCACATTTTCTATCTTCTATTAATCGGCAAGTTGGTTTTTTAAAATTATTTTATTGGGGGCTCATACAATTCTTATCACAATCCATACATACATCCATTGTATCAAGCACATATGTACATTTGTTGTCCTCATCATTCTCAAAACATTTGCTTTCTACTTTAGCCCTTAATATCAGTTGCTCATTTTCTTCCTCTCCCCCTCCCTCATGAATCCTTCATAATTCATAAATTATTACAGTTTTGTCATAAGTTACACTGTCCGACTTCTCCCTCCGCCCTCTTCTCTGCTGTCCATCCCCCAGGGAGGAGGCTATACTTAGATTCTTGTAACTGGTTCCCCCCTTCTACCCCACATTCCCTTCACCCTCCAGGCATTGCCACTCTCACCACTGGTCCTAAAGGAGTCATCTATCCTGGATTCCCTGTGTTTCCAGTTCCTATCTGTATCACTGTACATCCTCTGGTCTAGCCAGATTTGTAAGGTAGAATTGGGATCATGATAGTGGAGGAGAGGAAGCATTTAGGAACTAGAGGAAAGTTATAGTTTCATCGTTGCTGCCCTGCACCCTGACTGGCTTGTTTCCTCCCCACAACCCTTCAGTAATCGGCAAGTTTTAAGCAGGGTGTTATTCAATTTCTGTGGTTTTAATTTTTCCCCTTTGGTCTTTCTATTATTTTTCTGATTTTATAGCACTGTGATCCAAAAAGATGTTTTATATTATTTTTACCTTTTTAAATTTACTGAACTTGTTTTGTGGACTCACATTATGCTCTATTTTGAAGAATGATCTTTGTGCACTGGAAAATACATACTGCGTTTTTTTGGTTGTTGTTTTTATTTTTTTCATACTGCATTGTTGGGTGGAATGTTTTGTACTTGTGCATATCTGAGGCCAAAGGTTGGTTGCTTGTGTAGCTGCGATTGTATCTTTGCTGAGTTACTAGGTGTTCTGTCTTTGAAACTCATGAATGTGAAAAAGTTTCCTAATATTGTGGATATATCCTTATCTCTTTTCAATACTGTTAATGTTTACTGTACGTACCTTGGGCTGTTTCATTTTATTTACTTTTTTGCCCAACAGTTTTATTCACACATAATTCACATGTCATACAATTTACTAGTTCAAGAATATCAGGAAGAGTTGTATAACCATCACCACAATTTTTTAGTAAGTTTTATCTTTTAATGACTCAAATTATTTTTTAAATGATCAGTTACAGTAAATACCAACAGATATGACCTTTGTACATGAAAACTCTTATTGATGTATGTATGGATTGTAATAAGAGTTGTATGAGCCCCCAATAAAATGATTAAAAATATATATATATTAAAAAAAATAAACAGGTTTTTGGGAACTGCTCAGTTAGACACTCATAGGTGGTAGAGGGCACTTCCTATGTCAATAACATCAGAAAGGGCATAATGCCAGCTTGTCCCACTTTCAGGGAGAAGACTGACAATTCTTTGAGTTGTCAAGTTACTACTAATCTTTAATTTTTAGCATCTTTTTATGACTGTTGAATAGATCTATCATTTCATAAAGTGTTAGAAAACAATGGTTTAATATTATTTTTGTTTTATTAGCTATAACTTTCCATTAGGAAACTTTCCTTAACAAATATTTCCTTGCTTGAAATAATATTCATAATAAATGTTTGATGCCACTTCCTTCATTTATGCATTTCTGATTAATGAGCATGTTTCCCAGCAATCTACAAAAATGATCAATGAGGCTTTATTCCTTGGATGTTTCAATCCAATGCAATCATTATTCCTTTTGATTTCCAAATTGTCCAATCTTTGGCCAGTGGAGGTATTTCCACGTTTGATATTTTCCTTCCTTGAGAAAACATGGGCTACCCCAGGCTCCTTACCCTTATTAATGATCTCCCATTAATGTCTGAGGTCTCATTTTTTAAAATTGTCCATCTTGTGCACAGCCTCATGATCTTATCCAAAGTTTCACAGTAGTAATAAAGGCTGAACACAAATCAGACACTGTCACACCATTCATTTGTCTTACCAGCACAAACTAGCTTGTTAATTCTTCCCTTTTTCCATTTGAGCAAATCTCCACCTTTACCACATCCCAGGTCCAAAACAGTAATATCACGCGTCTTTTTCTGTCGCACCTTTTCTAAAAATTCTCCTAAAAAAGGAAAATTTGTAAAAATAAGTTCTCTTCATTTTTACCAAAGCACAAACTGTTACTTCTAATAACACACTAACCTATGTCTCACACATAATATAAACAATTACACATTCATTTATAAAGTCAATTTATAATTTTTGGTAAACATTTCAAAATACAAATAAAATTAATTAATTTGATCTTCCATTAGACTAGACTCTGTGTGTGACATTATAGAACATAAAATAGGTTTTAAAGATTACTTTCAGAATTCAACATTAAATGTCAGACATTTAAAAATGCTAATTATGTAACAAAGAGTTCAAGAAGAAAGAAAATGTTTTGAAATGATGGTGGCAGTAATTGTACAATTATGCTTGATGTAACTGAATTGTGGATTGTTTTATCTGTAAGAGCTCCCAATAAAATGAATAAAAATAATGTTAATAAATTCTAATTAACAGAAAACCCAACACATGTTCATGATAAAAACTAGTTATTCAGAATTTTTTTACCTTTTTGTTTCTAAAGCTAAGTATTTAGTATACACCTAAGTCAGTGGTTCTCAACCTTCCTAATGCTGCGACCCTTTAGTACAGTTCCTCATGTGATAGTGACCCCCCAACCATAAAATTTTTTCTTGCTACCTCATAACTGTCATTTTGCTGTTATGAATTGTCATGTAAATATCTGATATGCAGGATATATTTTCATTGTTAAATTGAACAATTAAAGCATAGTGATTAATCACAAAAACAATATGTAATTATATATTGTGAAATATTTATTTCTAATTACAAAGAAATGAAATTTTGTCTTGAAGCATGGTGTAGCATGAGTAACCGTCTTCCCGCCAGGTACTTGTATGTGGGCGTATCTGCATGTGGGTGGACCCGCTTGGATAGAGCACCAGTGTCTCGGTTCATAAGACCATAGGAAATATGTGTTTTCTAATGGTCTTAGGCGACCCCTGTGAAAGGGTCGTTCGACCCCAAAGGTGTTGCAACCCACAGGTTGAGAACCGCTGACCTAAGTAAATCAATTAAGAGCTGGACTATATAAAGAAAATGAATCAGGATTGGATAGGTTCATTAATAACCTACAACATGCAGATGATACAGCCTTATTTGCTGAAAACCATGTTTGACTTGAAGCACTTCTTAAAGATCAAAGAATACAACATTTATTATGGAATCTAACTCAAAATATTAAGAAACTAAAATTCCTCATAACTAGACCATAGACTACAACATGATGAACAAAGTTTTGAAGGATTTCATCTTATTTGGATCCATACTCAATGCTGAACGCAACAGCAGTCAAGAAACTGAATTATGGATAGCATTGGGCAAATCTGCTGTAAAAGACCTTTTTCCAGTGTTGAGAACTTTGAAGACTAAGGTGCCCTTGATCCGAGCCACGGTCTCCTACACATGTGAAAGTTGAACAATGACTAAGGAAGATCACAGAAGAATTGATGCACTGGAATTGCGGTGTTGGTGAAGAATACTGAAAGCATTCAGTATGGTCGGAGGACCAAACAAATCTGTCTAGGAAGAAGTAAAGCCAGAACATTCTTTAGAAGGTGAGATTTCATATCTTATACTTTGGACCTGTTATCAGGAGGGATCAGTCCCTGCGGAAGGACATCATGCTTGCTAAAGAACAGATTCAGCAAAAAACAGGGAAAGCCCTCAGTAAATTGGAATGAAATGGATTTACACATTGGTTACAAAAATGGGCTGACGCATAGCTGGGAAGATGGCACAGGACTATGCAGGGTTTCATTCCATTACACACAGGGTTGGTATGAGTCAGAGCCATCTCTAGAGCACCTAACAACACGTAAATCAAAGTAATTGTGGGATGGTAGAGTTTAATTTTCACAAAAGGAGCCAGGCTTACTATAAGAAAACTACACGAGAACTGGTTAAAAAAAACCCTGTACTTAGTAGTTTCACCAGAATTCTTAAATACCTTGAAGTAAATATGGAACCTTCTCATCTCAATGTACCAAATTATACTAATGGCCAATGAATAAAATGGATGTTCCCATAGGTCAATTAGTAAATGGCTTGAATGTCAGTTAAAGGGCTTTCTCAGACAACTGAAGCACTTAGTAATTCTAAACCTTGATACAATACTTAATCCTAGATTATCACACCCTGTCATCACTGGTAAGTATAAAATTTTCCACTTCACATATATACTATTTTGATGGCTAGAATATTTTGTACAAATACTTCTGCTTTTCACTGTCTGCACGATATTATTAAACTTCAACAGAAGCACATGTATTTCATATTTAACTTTGTCATAAACTATTATAGCATAAACATTAAATTGAAAGATTGAGAAAAATAGCAATTATACAATCTCTTTATACAATGAGACTAATGAGAGGGGAATCATTATTAAATATTATTTTCAATGTACTCAATTATTTACTACACTAGTAGCGAGTTATGAGTTGGGTTACTAACTACAAGGTGAAGATTTATATATAAAAAACCCACACAGGCAGTTCTACTACTCTGTCCCATAGGGTCGCTATAAGACAGAATGAACTTGCTGGCAGTATTTACTAAGCTATAAACACTACAGAGAATACAGAAACGAATGCTAAGTGAATGAGTATTTGAGAAGAAGGCAGAGAAGCAGCTTGGCACAGAGCACCGCAATGATTGCATCTCACAGGTGCTGAGACCAAGGTAGTCATGGACGACTTGGTGGAACAGCTAATTAGGGCAAAATATCCTGAGTATGCTGAGATAATTTTTTGCTAAATCTGATTTACAGTCTTTTAAAAAGTATCTGTTACCTGATTATAAAGCATAAAAAAAGTACAATCTGAAAAATATGGCTAGATTAAGAAGACTTTTATAGGGATAATTGCCAGAATTCCCCCAGGACCAGTGGGGAGATAGTCATAAAGGTCAGCAGATACACCTGGAATTATGTATGTTTGGGTTTTTTTTTAACCTAGTTATCCTTTTTTCCTGTTTCTCTTTTTATTCAATCCTTTGTTTTATTTTTGTTTTGTCTCCGTTATTGTTGATGTTGCCTACCTATATAAGATAGACATGGGAAGCAAACTCTAGAAGAAAGCAACAGGACCCAGGACCAACGGTTCTGGAGGGACTCCGGGGAGGAGGTGGGTGAAGGGAGCGGTGAGCAAACAACGTCATTGACAAGGGAACAAACAGGAAATTAAAATCAACAACAAGGAGGAGGTAGAGAACCTGGGGGAGGATGGAGCAACAGCAATCAAACTGAGAGGCGGAAAAAGGGCGAGCATGATGGTGGTACAGGAGGAAGGTAAAAAGGAAACAGGAAAAGTCTAGGAAGCAAAGCTATAGATAGAGGTATAAACACAGGTGGCTGATATGTAAATACATTAATTCATAAAAATAGAGGTATTGGCCTATGTACATATATTTATATTGGCAATACAATGAGGTACTTTGAGCCTTTGCTCAAGCTCTGCCTCAACACAAGAATACTTTGTTTTAACAACCTGGCATTCTGTGATGCTCACCATCCTTGATGAAGACAAAACGGGTGCATAAGCAAATGTGGTGAAGAAAGTGGATGGTGCCCGGCTATCAAAAGATAAAGTGTATGGGGTCTTAAAGGCTTGAAGCTAAACAGGTAGCCATCTAGCAGAGAAGCAACAAGCCACATGGAAGAAGCACCCCAGCCTGTGCGACCGTGAGGTGTTGAAGGGATCGGGTAACAGGCATCAGAAGATCCAAAACAAACAAATAAAAAGTAAAACCATATTGTTGAGAACAAGGGGGGGTCAAAGCAGAGAACCCAAACCCATCTGTAGATAATGAAACATCCCTCAGAGAAGGGTCACAGGAAGGGATAAGTCAACCAAGGCACAATATAGCATCGATGAAACACAGACTATTCCTCTGGTAACTTGAGGTGTCCTCATTCTGCACTATCATGACCCCAGTACTGCCTTTCACTGCAGGTTAGACCGCAACATGTGCACAGGTACAGATAAGAGCTCAGGACAGGCGGAATCCAGGAACAGGAATGGGAGTATTGATACCATGAAAGGTGGAGAGAGGGGAGGAGGAGGGAACCAATGGGAGGTTGGGGGGGAGACAGTGGTTGGTATAAGATATGAAAATAATAACACTTAATAATTTATCAGGGGGTTATGAGGATTGGGGGAGAGGGGGCAGATCTGATCCCAAGGGCTCAAATAGGAAATAAATGCTTAGAGAATGATGGCAACATATGTACAGATATACTTAATAAATTTGATATACAGATTGGTATAAAGGCTGTAAGAATCCCAATAAAATGATCTTTTAATAAAAAAAGAATCTATTTAACTAATAGATCACATACAAATAATATATAATAAACTCCCAATGACAGTTTACCTGCATTACTGGGGAGAAGGAGAAAAAAACAAAAAAAGCTGAAATAAATTAGGATTGGTAAGGAATCTGCCTTAACCCAGAAAATGTCTTAAAAAAGAAAATTACCCTGGCTGACAACGACAAATAAATACTTTGTCACGAAACATAAAGATTATGAACCTTCCCCAGAAGAATTTATTTCAGAAGGCAGCACTGAAGCTGCAGCTCAGGGAAAGGGAAATGTGTGATCAGAGCACACAGGAGCAAATGAAGGGGAATGAAGAGAGAGTGGAGCACATCCTGGCCCACCAAACCTTGAGGATGATATTCCCGCTCACAGCAACCAATCCACAGAGAAGAGCATATGGCTGGCCCCACTATGAGACATGACATCCCTCAATGACCCATAGCCCTACAGGGGGCATTGGAGACTGTACGGGAATTGTGCCTGATCTGATCCCACCACGCTGAGGCAAAAAACTAAGGGTGTGCAACAGAAAAGCAAGGGGAACAAAGCAACGAAATCCCCAGGGAATACCAAAAATAGACTTTGAGGCCAGGGCTTGGCAGGTGATCAGACTTGACCAGGAAAACACTCCTAAAGGCCAATAAACAGTCCCTGAACTAACAACAGCCCTTTCTTTCTTTCTTTCTTTTTTTTTGTCACTGGCTTTTTGTTGTTGTTTTAATTTCTTTTGTTGCCTTGTTTTGCTGTGTATTTCTTTGTGCATGTTATTATCTCCGCAGGTCTGTCTAAATGAGATAGGCTGGATGAATACTCTGGAGGAGAAAACAACAGGACCGACAGTTCCAGGGGGACATGGGAGAGGGGGAGGTGGGGG